CACCCTAAGTACATCAAAACCATCTTTTGGTGTCTTGAAAGCATCGAGAGCACAGCAGACAAATGTTGAAGAGAGAAATCGAAAGTAGAGATGGAAATGGAAAAAATTTGAGATTGATGGTTTAATTTATTTAAAATGATTTCAAAGATATTCTTATCAAGTAATGGCTAAATATGACTAAAAATAATTAATTTTATTTTAATAGTTATTTTTGAAATCAAGTTATAAAGATGGTCATTGTTCACAATTTTCTCTAAATGATATATATATAAAGTTAATCTTATTTATAATTTAATTTAAATTAATTAACAATATTGTAATATAACTCCTAACTAATTATTATAGTCTAACAATGTAATAGTAGTGATATTTTATATAATTATCTTAACATTGCTAAAAGTGTTAAAAATTTATAAAAATATTTTGTGTACAAAAAATGGTGTTGTTATAATAACAATTTGTTTATAATACAAAGCTGTAATACCAGAATTTGGGGAAGGAAATTCGTTGTTTTCTTAGAAAAGGAATCCACTACTTATGAGCCAATTACAACAATACATTTATATATATAATTTGTTGACGGTCACACATATTTAACCCTTTTTTTAAAATTCAAATTTCTCTCTGCCATTTCTTGCCTCAATTCTAAAGATATAGAAAATCAGTAGCGCTAAAAGTCTCAAAGTTTCTACAAAATATATTGCATACAAGCACATGGAGTTGTTTTAATAAGTTTTTCTGGTCAGAAGTGTGATTTTATATTTTTTTTAAAAATTAAAATTTGGAACATCAATGAAACGAGTTTGACTTTGATAAATTATGTTTATAATACGTACCAGTAAACCATCCACGACTTACATGAAGGAAATCCACAATTTTTTTTAATTAAAAAAAATGAATCGTTCTTTACAAAGCAAATCAAAACATATATATGATAAACCAGTATTAATTTGGTTGACACGGAAAAAGGAAAAAAGATATGAGTGATTAATCCCGGATATTACCTTCTGTTGCCATCACTATCATTACTATATTTTTGGATCTGTTCATAGTCCTCAATAAGAAAAATGGTAAACAACGAGAATTATCTAAGTAAGCCACTGTTAGCTTATTAGGCAGTAAAAACGTTAACTACATAGAAAATTCAGCAAAAACTATACATAGAAAGAGAGAAATGCCAAAAAATATTTTTTAAAAAAATTTCTATCGGATGGAATGTGACACATGCATTCCATCTTTATCTAAAAATTTATATATATAGATATATTATTCACATGAGATGTGTGTATTTATTCTCCACTTTCAAACATGTCTTTTTTTTATATATATTTGAGAAAGAAAATTCATATTGCTAGACTTATGATCACAATTACATAAAAATACTTTTATCACATTTAGAAGCTTAGTGTATGGAGTAGTTATATGTTGATAAATATAACCCACATGTCCTACTACTAACTAAGGTTGAGTTTGATATCAGCTTTATCGATCATAACCAACCTACTTTATTGTTGAGGAAAGAAACACAATTTCTTCCGCTCCGTTTCTACCAAGAAAATGCCGAATAACTTGTATTTCTGCATTTTTTAGAAACTTTTGAAATGTCTAAATGTTATGATTTCAAATACGTTAAAAGGATTTACAGTTTCGGTATAAAGCACCCTCAGCACAGTGCAATTTGTTTCCCTGTTGGTGTTGGGGTCGAATTCCTTCGTTCTGGATTACCCATGGCTTTGGGCTGCTCTGCTCTAATTTTCAGCAAAGCTGCAACCAACCTATTGTAGGCCACCTAACTAATCGAACCCAACCTCTATGTTGGCTGGGCTTGGGGGAAAAACTTGTAACTTGAGAATTGAGTTTTCCTTTTGGGCCAAACTTTTTCGTCATGATGAAATAATACTTGATAATTTAATTAACTTGGATGGCAGTTTACATCATGAGTAACCCAGCCCATTCCGTTCTCTAGTTTAGGCTTGTGGAAGCGGGTAGTAACTCAACTTTTCTACGCTATGAGTAGAGACGCAGATGCTAGGTATGCCACTTGGGCCACAAGTTGAGCAATCTATCAGTGGGATGGATATTTAGAGCTTGTTGTGATCCTGGTTCAAGTGCGACCAAAATACCAGCATCAACTCTGAATGGAGATATTGGTTTTTGCCGCCACTGTTAAATGATTTTGGCCCTGATTTGAATCACCTAAAAATCTACCAGTGTCTCTTTCTTTCTGCCTGTATCGAATCATTGTCACATTCAGCTTGTCTTACCCATAACCGTAAATAGCTTCTATTAGCTATAATTAACGCTCATCTCATAAGACCCCACTGCGAATTTTGCAGGACCACTGTACCCCATTCACCGTAATGTCACAATCTGTCTAACACTAGATGTCTCCCGTTTGGCTTTTCTTTTGATGTTTTCCTCACTAGAGTGAGTGTTAGTCATTAATTTTAATTACCCCCATTAGAAAAAAAAAATTTAAGAGAAATGTTTCGTTGTTCCAACTTCAAATCATCTATCTCATTTACATCTCTCTTTCAGAAAAGTAAAAGCTCATCTTCTAATTTCAATCTACTTTCTCACATTTACCTTCTCGTCTCTGATAGATGACAGAAGGAAAAGATGTCCCCAGTGGACCACGTGTACGGGCCTGGCCTAATGGATTGGCCAGAAATAATGTAGATTGTCTTACCATATATCTGTCCCCTCCATGCAGCAAAGACTACAGATGGTTGATTAACATACAAAAAGACCTCAATGCAGTGCTGTCTTTTACCGTCAGAAGATTGGTGAATATTTTGTTTGGCATTACCTGAGATGGTGACACCTAAAATCAGACAGCCACAGCCACAGGCCCAGCCCAGCCCACCAGCCCCTCGGATACTCCTCCCGCGGTGCCCTCCACTTGTCAACTTTCTTCCTTTCTTTCTTTCAACTCTCTCAAGGGAAACCAAAAATAACAACCTTAAAGGAAAAACGAAAATAAAATGTGTATATACCAAATCTCTTGTTCAGGATAGAATTGTGAAGCATCCTCCACAATTACACCAGTCACGCATGGAATGTGCATCCCTTGGCTAGAGTGTTCCATTCCATTCCCCAACTCTCATTCGAATCTAGGCAAAACTAACATCCCACTAGAGTGGGCCTGCTCCATCAATATACACACTGCCGGTCCCTAGTTATTTATTTGTTTTTTCCCTTTCTTTAAAGGGAGGTTATGAATATTTTCCCTGATTTCGAAACATTGCCTCAGTCATTAAGGATACAAATTCTTGATTATTGTTTAATACTGTCTACAGACTACAGCATGATAATGATTTAACATTTAAGTTTTGGCGCCAGTGGTTAATGTGTCCATTTCTTATCTTGTCTACATTAGTGTTTGATTCCAGGACTTTCGATATTGGTTCATCCAATAATTTTCGCTAAGGTTTTGAGGTCCCCCAAGTTCGACCATATCTTATGCACATTTTACATAAAGGGTCGAAAGAATTAGGTCTTATATTAAGTATCGACACATTAATGGTAACTATTTACACAGTAACTGGCTTAAATCATTGTGACCTTTTGTTTACAATGATTTCTGCAAATAAAGAAATAATGAGCCGTCCACTTTAAGACTTTGTTCTAGTATAATCGACATATATGGTGAATTATTGACTTGCAATGGAACAGGAAAAAAGGCAAAAATTAATTGCAGAAAACAGAGAGAGCCAAAGTCTAGAATTGACAAACCCCTTTTACGGGACTGATAAGAACAGTAGATGCTGGCTGCATGTGCTTGCAGGTTTGCAGTTTCCTCCAGCCTTCTTGAGGCCATCAAGGTCAGAATCCAATCTTTCTAGTCTTTTAGTAAGTTTTTTTTTTTTGGGGGGTGGTGCGCTGCATTTTTCTGAGCCTAACCATACGGCATTAAATATTAGAATTAACAAAGTCTACCAACAAATTGTTTCTTTTAAAGTGTAAATGAAAGGCTGTGCAGCGTAGCCCCACTAGCATGCATGGTCTGAAAATGACCATAATCTTTAGCCAGGCAAAACGCAGAGGAGTGATGAGTCAATGTCTATGCTTTGATGAAGGGGATGATCAGTATACCTAACAAGGAAGTGAAGCTGCTTCCGCAGTGAACAAAGCCCGGTTTGTTTAAGGTGTCAACAATTAACTCATTAATGCTGAATAGGTCAAAAGGATGAGCTTTGGGGGTTTAAAAGATACACAGTAAATGACAATGTCCATAAAAGAAGAGAAGATGTTCACTGGCACCAATTTTCTCCCTCTTTTTTAATGATCACTAAACGATATCTTATCATTTGTCTCTCTATTTTTTATTTTATTTAAAAAAAAAACACTCCTTTTTCTTTTTCAGTGGAAATACGACTCTCCAATTCTACACTGCTAACTACCCAAAGCAAAGAACAAAAGATCAACAAAGACAAAACAAACAAAATCAAAAGATATTGTCCCCCAATTTCAACATTCTCCACCTTTCACCTTTTTGCCCCTTTTTTTTGAGTGTGTTTTTGGTGGATCTAACCGTGTATCTAAACACCTTTAAGTCTTCTGTTTTTGATGGGAGCTAAGTCCCTATAATTCCGTTCTAGCTGATCCCCTCCTTTTCCTAATTAATCCCTGCACAGCCTTGCATTTTCCATTCCAACCCTGGCTCCAAGCGTGTATCACGCCTCATAAATATATGCACATGTATATTAGGCAACATTATCAACACCTAAAAAATGATTAGTCACAGTCACCATCGAATTTCTATGAAATTGACACGCTTTGATGGTCCATAAATCTACAAAATCTCAACACTATAGTTTATCATTTTGTTATGACTTGTCTCAACAAGATTAGGAAAAAATGA